TGCGTTTCTCCCAACTCTGGGCTCAGCGACATCTGGAAACAAGCCAGAAACTGGCCACAGCAGGAATATTTACACCATGGAAATTGGCAAATGCTCCAAAAAATCCCCGCCCCAGAGTTGATTGTTAAAACACTTACCAGGACACTGTCTTCCCCAGTCCCTACGCTCTCCTCCTCCCGCTTGTCTTTTTCCTCAACCAACCCCCAGATACATGCCCTCTATTTCAGCCCAAATTCTGAGGTCTCATCAGCTAGGATAGGAGGAAGAGATTAGACAATTACCAAATCAAATGAGTATGAATAGTGACTAGAAAACTAGATTAAAATAAAGGTATTTTGATGAAAATATTAAAGTTCAATGAAGACAAGAGCAGGGCAAGTTATGAACAAAAATAATACTCTCCTAATGTAAAAACGCAGTAGAGCATGCACAACCTACTGAAATATTAGATAGGTACGACTTTCTCAATTGCCACTCTGGCCAGTAAGTGTTTGATTAGCCAAAATGTGAATCATATCAGAGAATCTTTATATAGACTTCCAACTTTTTTTCTTTTTTACATGACCAGGAAGCTATTGTGATGCTTCTTGCCTGGCCAGTACTGGCTATGAATATTCACATCCTCATGGGCACACATAGGTAATCCAATTAAAACAAATACTGTAAACAAATAAAAAGAAAAGCACTTACTTCTAGGGTCTGCATCAGATTTGGTTTTATCGCATCTTTCATCAAAACTGTCAAAGCACCTGTCACTCCCTAAAGGAGAGAAAAAACATTTATGTTGGTGAAAGAAGATCACCCAAGCTCTGGGTTAATGCCTTGGCTGTTTTCTCACTAGCCTGCTTCCTAGCTGGGCACTCCAGGGGTCCCAGGCTGCTGTCACTTCTGGGCTATACATGACACAGTACTGTGGCCTCGGTCCAGCTCTCCCCCACCAGAGCCTGGAATGGGTGTTAGCCATTCTCACATGTGAAGAATGATGGGGGATATCATCAACTGAATTGTGTTCCCCAAAAATATGTGCTGTATATCCGAATCCCTACACCTGTGGTTATAATCCCACTTGGGAATGGGTTTTCTTTGTTATGTTAATGAGGTAGTATTAGTGTGGGGTGTGTCTTGAGTCAATCTCTTTTGAGATACAAAATGGAGCAGATTAGGCAGGCAGAGATGGGGGGAAGATAGATGCCAAGCCACAAGATCACCAAGGAACTGAGGAACAGAAGCTGAAAAGAGACAAAGACTTTCCTCTAGAGCTGACAGAGAGAGAAAGCCTTCCCCTAGAGCCAGCACCCTGAACTCAAGACTTCTAGCCCCCTCCCTAATTGTGAGAAAACAAATTTCTGTTTATTAAAGCCACCCACTTGTATTATTTTCGTTATAGCATCACTAGGTAACTAAGACGGGAGTAGCAGTCATTTTTCTGTTCCCAGAACCTTCCTTGATGGTGTTTAAGAGGCTTTCCATAAATCAGACCTTTCAATCAATCCACTTCAAAGTATTTTCTGGCAATCATGTACATCAGTTTTTCATTATGAGAGGCCTTAGTGTTACCCAAAGAAATAAGATGAAGAGCTGAAACAGCTATTTACAGAGCAGGAATAAGAGAGGTAAAGGGATGTATCTAAAAGCACCGATTCTTGTTTCCTACCTTCTCTAAGCCTCTTACCCTACAGCTACAGAAGGTGCTCAAAACACTGCTGCATTTGAAGGGCTTCTAGTTTCCTGCCTCTCAAGCTAGCTCTCCATCTAGACTGAAGCTGAAGCCACTTAGATGGCTCTGTTTTAAAAGCCACTAGCTGCAGGGAGATCCCCCCCACTACCACAGGCAGAAAAGAAGAGCAGGCAATGAAAGGTGAAAAGCTTATGGAATAAATTCCATGTGTTTGGTTGTAGCCAAGTACAAGCACATTATAAATACCTGTGAGAACATTACGAAGCTGTAAGGGAAACAGGCTTGTGCAAGAAGCCCTGTGTGTGCAGAAACTCTCTGAACCCCCATTGTGTAGACTAATAACAGGAAGAAAATCTTCATTCTTCTCATTACCAAAGAAAAGGATGGAAAGCTCACTGGAGCCTTTGATTGGACATACGCACCAAATCTTCTGCAGTCACAGGCTGCCCATTTTTGTCACTGGCCACCACCATTCGTCCCAGCCGCTCCTTCATGTCCTTGAGGCTGTCGGTCAGGGCCAGCACTGCCATGATCTCGCTGGCCACGGCAATGTCAAACTGCGCCTAAAGCAGCCAAAGCACAGGCATTGCTCAGCAACAGCGCCACCTGGAGGCCACTCCAACAGGGAGCTCAATTTCAACAACCAGTCATGGAGAGCCAGAATCTATATCCTCAATGGGTATTCTCGTACCCACAGTCTTCTAAGCGTCTACCTTATGCATGGTCCTGTGCTGGTTGACCTCTGGGGCGGCCACCCAGCTTCCTGCACTCTTTTCCACTTTATTCCGCTGAGCAGGACTCAGTTTGCTTAGGTCTCCTGTTGTACCTGTTTATGGTACTATGTGGCTTGCTTTTGTAGCATATCTCAAACTTGTTATTAATTATTTATGAGACTGTCTGTGTCATGTGGGTCTACACCACTGGACTGTAAGTGCCAGTGAAGGCAGGGACCATTTCGTGAAGTTTCCCTTCCGAATCCTTAGCATCAGAGCTATAACTGAAGCATCAAAATAAAAAAACCAAAAACCCAGCAAACCAGTTGCCATTGAGTCGACTCCAACTTATGGCAACCCCATGTGTGTCAGAGTAGAACTGTGCACCACAGGGTTTTCAACGGCTGAGTTTCTGGGAAATAGACCATCAAATCTTTCTTCCAAGGTTCTCTGGGAGGACTCGAACCTCCAACCTTTAGTTTAGCAGCTGAGCGCATTAACCATTTGAATCACCCAGGGACTCCACGTGCCTCAGACACAGCAGGCTCTCAATACACATTGACTAAGCAACGGAAGAGCCTACCAATTAGCTCTATGCTATTAATCAGTCTGTCAAGGAGGCCTCATTTGTCTTTCTAGCAAAGATATGAGGAGCAGACAGTGGACGAAGACAGTTCTGCTGGCTTCCTCACCCCACTGCGTCCTATGCCAGTTTCCTAGAGTTACATTGCAACACAGCAGTGAGGACAACCTGCCTAGAGTAATCCACCAAGTCAAATGGTGGCACATCTTCAATTTTCAGCTACCCGTGAGGGAGGGTATGACCACATCAGACCTTGAAAGTTTCAGGAAAGAAAGCTAGAGAATAGCTACTTTCTGTGAAATATTCCTAGGACTCCCATCCACCCGACTCAGACTCCAAGTTGTATAAAGTCCAAGAGAATCTAAATGAGACACAGGGAATGCGTACTTCCTCCTGCTCAGAATTCAGCCACTAGGAGAATTTCTTTGGACAAAACCACTTCATTAGGCTCCAGTTTAATCCCTTCTTCCCAAGGGAGAGTGTGAGCTAGACAAGTTCAAGCTACAGAGAGAGAAATGGCTGTGCCTTATTGGGATCTCCTTATGAGACATTTTATTATCCATTTCCACCACTAACAAGTAAGGAAATAAGAGGCTTTCTGGCTACTTCCTGGTCGAGATCTCGTTAGTCGTTGATTTAGTGAAAAATATTGCCTGGAAGTCAAATACGCCTATATTTAATTATTACGTTCTCAGTACAACCCATTCCAAACATAATTATTTTTTCATTGTCTAATACTTAGGATTCTCTATACTACTATTCCATTATAAACAGTGCATGTAAAATCAGTGACTAAAAATATTGAGCCCTTCTATACAAAACATGAAATTAGAACTATTCTTGAAATGTTAACTATAAAAACAAAAAGTAGAATTTATAATCCATATATAAGTTCTTCATTTGTAATGGTTACAAGTTCAAAATTCTGCATCTTGAGCAACACTAAAAATGAAACAAATTGGGTCAATTTAAAATATCGTCATTAATTTTATTGACTGAATGACATACATATTAGAAGGCTGCTCACTGTTTTGCAAATAAAATCTTTCAAAATCATTTGAGGGTTCAAGTGAGATACGATTTTTTATTGCTTATCAAATTATCACGATTTCAACAAATGACAATATACAATGTTGGCAAGAATGTGAAGTGACGTAACTTTTCTGAAAGGTTAATGTGGAAACATACATCAACATTTAAAATTTGCAGCCTTATTGGTTCTGCAATTACACATCTGGGAAATTGTCCTTAGAATATTATCAGAAAATTATCTACTCATATATGTGTATGTTCACTACAGCTTACTTGTGATAGTCCACCACTGTAAACACCCTAAATATGCATGAACAGGGGACTGGTTGAATTGGTTATGGTACATCTAACCAGATGAGATCATATGTAGCCACTAAAAGCGATGATATGTTGTTGTTAGTTATTGTCCAGTCAATTCTGACTCATATCGACACCACATGGGCAAGCAGAACTGCTCTGTAGGGTTTTCAAGGCTGTGACCTTATGGAAGCAGATTGCCAGGTCTGTCTTCTGAGGTGCCTGTGGTGGGTGGGTTCAAACCAGCAACCTTTCGGCTAGTAGTCAAGTGTTTAATCGTTTGCACCAAGATATAGATCTATCTTTACTGACATGAAAACACGTCCTCACTTCAATGGCCACTGCTACTCCTTAGGGTGCTCTCTGTGCAAATGAGACAAAGCTGCCCATCCCTTAAGAAAGTGTCACAATCTACTAGTTCTCTTAGAAGAAAACACTTCTTACTGACATCTGTCAGACAAGAGCCATAACATAATAAATCGACCAATCTGTGACTGTGGTGTGAGAGGGCACCCTAAGCGGTGCAGTGTAGTGTGCACTGTTCCTAGCACCCACACCAGGTCCAACCTGAGACAAATGCACCTGCAGGCTGGCTACACATGGGTGTTATGGGAAGGTGCCCATCTGCCCACTGCTTGGGAGCCCACCAACCCCTGACCTCAAGGGTTGTGTGGGTCCTCTCCTATTTCTGAGAAATAGGATATCTAGAGTGTCTGAGGAGCCTTGGTGGCACAGTGGGTAAGAGCTTGGCTACTAACCAAAAGGTCAGCAGTTCGAATCCACCAGCCACTCCTTGGAAACCCTATAGAGCAGTTCTACTCAGTCCTAAAGGGTCTAAATTTAGAGCCCCCCAAATCTCTCTATTTTGGCTTTTCTCCACTGTGGGGATATGTGCCATTAAAATATGGATGTATAACGGCCTCTATGCTGCACAGCATGTTGAGACTTGTCCCCAACATGTTGAGACTTGTCACGACTTGTTTTCCCAAACCGATTACTGATTGGCTTGTTTACCTGAATTCCCCCTCCCTTGCCCGAAACTTATTGTTATTCACCCAAAGCCCATTGTTCTGTTATTTGCTTCACTGCTTGCTGTACTGACTATAAATAAACTCCTGGGACTGAAGCTGAGGTTCGACTCCTCAGAGTGACCCTCCTGGCCCCATTTCTCTGTAAGAGTTGTGGCATTGGTTATTGTCTCCGCTGCCCCGACAACCGTCGCCGCTGCGACAGATGGTGCCCCGTGTGAGGGAACTGTAGACCCCTCGCACTCAATCCCTTCAGGTGGTGAGTATTGGATGTTCGTTTCAGGCTGTTTAAAGGCACAGCCCGAGAGCGGTGGGGTTTTTCCGCCGGCGGAATTTTCCCAAACGCTCTCAGATCAGGCTGCTTTAGCCCCAGAGCGGCAGGACTTTCCTGACCGCTCCCAAGGGATTTCAGGCTTCAGGCCAGGAGCTTTCCTATCATTCTTTTCTTCATTTTCCTATTCCTCCTTGCTATGGGGAATTCTCTTTCTCCTGAACAGCGTCAACACAAAACCCAGTTGTTGGGATTGTTAAAGGCCTCTAAGCTTAAGGTGTCAGAAGAGGCCCTTACCCAACTTCTGCTTTTAATTGAATCTGCCATTTCTGGACAGGCAGACAATCAACAAGCAGCTGAAGTTCTTTGTCTCCAGCTTGCTTGTGAAAATGCTAATGCTGACTGTCGGGCTGTTTTAGCTCTCTTAAAGGCACAGTGTCCCTGCTGTGGTAAAGGCTTTCATTGGGCTAATATATTCTGGGTTTCTCTATGCTACAGCCCTTTCTGGAGAACGTTCTACCCATGCCTGTCATCATTTCACCCAAGCCATTGCAACTATGGGATGTCCCCGAGCTCTTAAAACTGATAATGGTCCTGCGTATACTTCTGCTAAATTTCAAGAATTTTGTGCCACTTGGGATATTCTTCATACCACTGGCATTCCTTATAACCCTCAAGGGCAAGCCATAATTGAACGTGCCCATCATACTCTCAAACAGCTCTTAAATAAACAAAACGGGGGAGATGATGGGTCTAGAATATGTGACCAGAATGAAAGACTTGCCAAAGCTCTCTTTACCTTTAACTTTTTATCGGTTGCCAAAGATGGTCGTACTGCTGCAGAATGACATTTTATCCCCTCTGACACCTGACCTCACCCACAGGTCCTCTATAAAGATCTTCAAAATTCCTCTGTCTGGCAAGGACCTGTAGAATTACTAACCTGGGGGCGAGGGTATGCGGCTGTTTTGTCTCCTACAGGTCCACTTTGGATTCCCGCCCAATTAGTAAAACCATATCATGACCCAGCGACAGCCACCGCCCTTCTGATGGGTACCGCCGCCATTCTCACACTGGAGTCCGTCCTGTCTTTCTTGGCAGGCGGCGGCGCGAGTGGGCGCCCTACTCCCCTCGCGGCTGCCCAGGCTCACTGGCCTGGTCGCCTGGGGTGTCGCCGCCTGGGACGGCCCTGCCTGGAGGCTCTGGGCAGGCGAAAGGGGGCTATGTGCTCCGGCCATGACTAGGGGTCCCAGACGCACCCTGTGCTGCGGCTCCCCCGCGCGCCGGCACTCTGCCCTGCACCTCCGCCCCTTCCCTTCTCGGAACCACCGCCACCGCCCCTGCTGCGGCTGCCGGAGCCGCCATCCGATCCGACGCCAGAGCTGCAACTGACACTGGCACCCCTTCCCCCGGGTATGAACACTGAAGGGCCGCCATCCGACCTGAAATCACCCCTTCCCCCAGGATGGACACTGAACAACAAAGATCTGCACTACCGGTAACATGGGGAAGTCTGAAAGCCCTCTCCTCCAAAGCTGAACATATCCTCTCAACTGCAGGTGCCCCACTTGCACCTGGAAGCCTGTTTCTAGCTATGGTTTCCCTCGTGACAATCTATTCTCAACAGTCATCCTATATTATCTTGTTAATCAGTAATTTGTTAATCAGTAAGTTCCCAATGAAAATTTGTTATGTATAAACTCTATATTTTCTGCTTCTCCTAGTTAGATGCTTCTGTATAGATAGATTTCTAAGTTAGATGATTCCTTTCCAATTGATAGTAAATTTGTGTAAATCAGTGTTTGTTTGATTGTTAAATCTGTTATAAGGTATAAATTGCCCTTCCTAGTGATTCCCTTCCAAGTAATAGTGAAGCTGTGTAAATCACTGCTTGTTTGATTGTTAATGAATCTTTGAGCCTTTATAAATCTTTGAGCCTTGAAGAATAATAATCTTAGTGAATGTTAAAAGTTAGTGTTTAGCTTACAAAATGAGAGTCAGAGGAAACCCATGGGTCCAACAATCAGGATATTACTAGTGCAGAGGATTATATTATCCTCATAAGATCATTCTCTATTGTCTTACACACCTGAAAGGCACATTGAGTCCGCTCACTCCGGCTACACAATTGATAAGAGCATCGCTCTTACTTAGTAACCTGGTGAAGAACCAGATGGTATCCGGTGGAAAACCAGCACCATGAGTTTAAAGAGCCTGCTATGGCCGCCATCTAAGAGCACTAACTCCAGGCATTAAGTAACAACCTGGTGAAAAACCAGATGGTATCCGGTGGAAAACCAGCACTGTGAGTTTAAAGAGCCTGCTATGGGCGCCATCTAGGTGACTAAGTCCAGGTGTTACTCATAGCTATGCTACTTCTCCTCCTTAAACATATGGAGTGTGCCCCAGCCATAGCTGGGCTCACAAGGACTCACTAAGACACCGGGCACTGAGGTGTGGAGACAGTAGCTGAGATAATCTTGGATTTTATCTCGTAGAGAAAATTTTACTTTCTCCTAACAGACACTTGTTGGAGCAGTGAAAATCCTCGATTCTTATTCCATTAACTAAACAAAAGGGGGGAAATGTGGGGATATGTGCCATTAAAATATGGATGTATAAAGCCCTCTATGCTGCACAGCATGTTGAGACTTGTCCCCAACATGTTGAGACTTGTCACGACTTGTTTTTCCAAACCCGTTACTGATTGGCTTGTTTACCTGAATTCCTCCTCCCTTGCCTGAAACTTACTGTTATTCACCCAAACCCCATTGTTCTGTTATTTGCTTCACTTCTTGCTGTATTGACTATAAATAAACTCCTGGGACTGAAGCTGGGTTCGACTCCTCAGAGTGACCCTCCTGGCCCCACTTCTCTGTAAGAGTTGTGGCATTGGTTATTGTCTCCGCTGCCTTGACAACCATCGCCGCTGTGACACTCCACCAATCTAATTCTATCCTCCTATCTTTCAGAAACTTCTCCAAATACTATAGAAGGGATTCTGGTTTTCTAGCATGGACATTAATTGTTTGCAGTCCGTATGGAGAAGGAAGGAAGGTGCACATGCTTAGTTTGTCTTCTTGATCCAATCCCCATATTCACTTTATTCAAAAGATTTCAAAAGGTCTAAAAGTCTCCTCGGGATAAGGACTGATTACTATAGTAAAAGTGGTTTTTACTTCACTAATAAAAACTCAAACTGTTCTAAAATATAATGTTTATTCCAAAAATAAATACAGAGCCTGTATCTGGCTCAGAAATCATGGAATGAATTCACATCCCCTAAGTACCACTGTTCCACAACAGAGACCCTATTAAAATGAAGGCGGACATCAAAATTGTTCTTCTGCATTCTGTGGATCTGGAAAATAAGACACTATCCTTAAAAACTCCTCAGGCTGTTATGCCAAATAACTAGGTTTTCCTTTTTTGGCTTACTAAATTTGAATGATGTATCTGAGATTTTCATTTTTTAATTAATTGTAAGTTAGGCAGATATAGTATTAATTGGGTGGGTTTCCAATAAAATATCTACAAATGGGTGGGTTTCCAATAAAATATCTACAAATTTATATCCAAGGGACTGAGTGGAACGTCCCAGTAATACAACTAAAAACACCCATGGATAGGATGGTAAGAAAATACCAGAACATTTTCCCCCCCTCATCCTCTCCAGTGCTGCATGGTGACTGGGCCACTGCCACTGCCGACTGAGGAAGGAGAAAAGCAGAGAAAAGGCTGGACTGTGTATGCCAACATAAGAATAGAATCCCTCTTGTGATGACAATGCCACCTACCTGGCGGGAAAATCCCTTCTCCGTGTTTGCCTGCCCAATTGTTATTTTTCGTAGAAATCGGTCATTTGTGTCCAGTACTGGAAGAGAAAAGAACAGATTACTTATTCAGTCAACAGACATGTGTTGCCTGCCTAGGTGTGTTTGGTGCCGTTCTGCGAGCTGGGGAAACGGTGGAGAACAACATGGATGAGGTCCAGCTTCCATGGAGTGGACACAGAGGATGGTCAAATAAACAAGAAAACACCAGCTAGTGAGAACTGCCTTAAGAAAATAAAAGCAGTGATATGATAGAGTTTGTCACGGAGGTGGTGGGTCAGGGGTGCCATTTTTGACTAGGCAGTAACAAAACACATTTCTGAAGGGGTGACATCTTAGGGTGAAACGTGAGTCACAAGAAGAAGCTGGTTGTGATTAGAGCAGGCCCCAATCTTCTTTGTTTTCCTCATTTGCTTGTTTGAATTCACGGTTATAGATTTTGTTTGTGAAAACTAGGTTTGGTTTCGTGAAAACTGAACTTCTAATACCAGGAAACAAAACCAGAATGACACAGACTTCACTAATAGTTTATACGGCTTCAAATAACAAGTTCACAGTGACCCCTTAGATCCAATTTGCTAAATATATAATATGGCAATGACAAAAAATGGTGAAGGAAATTTGAGTATTTGAGAACTATGAGCATGTGGAGGATGAAACATGGTCATCTCCTCTTGTACATACAAAACACTAACAACATACTCAACTTGTGCACTTTTTGTTCCTGGACCCAGTTACTGCCAGTCTTTCTTTACATATAATACATTCACACATATGCGCCCACACTCACTCTCTCACACACACTCTCTCTCTGATATACATACACACACCTCACACACACATGCACACACTCAGATACAAACTCACACAGATACTCCAACAACACTCACACAAACACATATAAACCTTCATGATTTTAAGACACATGCAGAGTATATAAAAAATAAAAGGACAGCCTCTTAATACTGTCACTAGCTGTCACTCTTATTTCCTCTATAGATAACCAAATCACCTAAGTATCTAATCTCATCACACCAAACCAAAAAAAAAAACCTGTTGATTCCAACTCATAGCAACACTACAGAACAGAGTAGAACTTCCCTATAGGGTTTCCAAGGAGCGGCTGGTGGATTTGAACTGCCAACCTTTGGGTTAGCAGCTGAAGTCTTTTAACCACTGCATCACCAGGGCTCCCTCATCACACCAGTGACACCATTTCTAAGTCCATGCTGGCTTTAAAAAAAATAAAACCCTACTATTCAATGTCCTCAATTCATTTACTGGAGAGTTCTATTTCTCATATTAATTCATGGGAATCAGAACCAAACTACTTATTGAATGTCATTCGAAATTCTTCTGATCCCTGTGACCTGTCAATAGCAATAGCTTACTTCATTGTCCTGAACAGTAATATGATGCTAATGTTTATCTGGAATCATTTTTTAAAGTTGATACTTCAATTAAAATTGAACTTCAGCCAGAGAACAATCCAGTCCTTTCTACCTTCTCAGAGGGAAACCAATCTGCATGCTAGCTTTGGGCAGACAGATCATGGAGCCTTTCTCTTCTAAGAACCCGGACTGAGTCCACTGCCCTATTTCAGGTGCCTACCTAAGTTAGAACCCCAAAGCAGATGTGGAAGAATGCCAAGTTGTATAGAAGTTTCTTTGAGTATCTTTACATGTTTGGTTTAAAATGCATCTTAATTCTCACCTGTGTAATTTTTCTTTCATGAGTGAATCTCTAAAAAAGTTTTAAAGAATAATGCAAACTCGCGATGCATTGAAAAAGGTGACTACTGAATTTTGGACATACTTGTGTTTTTAATCTTCATTATAAAAAAGAGTTAGAGAAAATATATAGGCTTCCCAAAAAAATGCTACAAATATTCATGTCAATTATTAAAAATGAGGTTGGTTTGTCCAATTACAGAGGCATAATTGAGTAAGCTGTGGTCTATCCACAAGGGAATATTCTGTAAACCAGCTTCCATTGAGCCGACCTGACTCATGGCAACCCCATGTGTGTCAGAGTAGAACTATGCTCCAGAAGTTTTTCAATGGCTAATGTTTCAGAAGTAGACTGCCAGGCCTTTCTTCCAAGGTGCCTCTGAGTGGACTTGAATCTCCAACCTTTCGGTTAGTAGCCGAGGGTGTTAACCATTTGCACCACCCAGGGATGGAATATTCTATGGCCATTTAAAACTACCATTTCAACAAAGAGCTAATAAAAATGGAATATGCTTATGATATAAAACCAAAATAACAGAATATAAAATTTATACACCTAAATTGTAATTACAGATATATACCTCCTCCTTACTTATTGATTATCTTGTCATCCAACTTTTCACATTTACAACAACAGTAAAAAATTTACTATCCTACTATTTTGCACATTAACGACGTACATCCGGCAGTAATGAATCCTGAGGTGAGAGGTGAGAATCATGCTGGCTTTGATAGTTAACGATATATGTCAGCTTGGCTGGGCCATAATTCTTAGTGGTTTAGCAGTAATGTAATGATGTGATTTGGCAGTTATGTAATGATGTAGTCATCCTCCATTTTGTGATCTAATGTGGTCATCCTTCATTTTCGTGTAACACTGATTTCATATAATGACCTGGTCTTTGGAACGTACCATTTCGATAAGTTAGGAGAGGGTGTACACAAAACACAGCTGTACACACGCACACACAAAACTAGTAATAGTAGTTTTATTAGTGTAGTCAGATGTTTCTTAATCTTTTTAAGCATGTCCAAAATCCCTATAATGCTATTACTTTTATAGTAAATATATATATTTGAAAGTTTCCAAGAGATTTTAATTGAGTTCAGGAGACAAAGATACATATAAAAACTATATAATACAACTGTTACCACAATGCCTCCTAATGTTCACAGGCGTGATGCTTTAGAGTTTGCAAAGAGTTCTCATGTTTCAATGGAGCCTCCCAATAGGGAGCTTGGTATTAATACCCCATTAAAAAAAATTTATTGCAGTAAAATATATATAACAAAACATTTACCATTTTCACCATTTTTAAGTGTACAAGTCAGTAACATTATTTATCCTGTTGTGCAACCACTTATGACCCCATTTTAAAGATGAGCAAACTGAGCAAGAAGCTGTGGAGAGCTGCACTGCCAATAAACGGTAGAGCCAAGACACAGCCCTCTGATCTTTGTCTCTCCACCTCAGCTTGTGGGAAAGCACTAAATTCACAGTGAACTGGCTGAACAGATTCCAAGGACAGAAGCTTTGTGAAGGGGTGAGAATTGGGCTGTGTCACTGAATTGTACATGTAGAATTTGTTGAATTGGTGTATGTCCTGCTGTGTATATTCTTAAGTACAAAAAAGAAAATAAATTAAAAAAAAAAAGGACCGACCTAGGCAGTGAGATGGGGGAGGGATGGCTGAGCCAGAGAGCAGAAGGCAACAGCCCTGACTAGAATGCAGACCAGGAGTGAAAGTTCCTGGGGCCACACTGTGGTAGTCCTGAGGCTAAGCCAAGCTATGTAATGGTGATTTTATCACACAAGATGTAGAGAGCCACTGAAAGGTTCGGAGCAAGGGAGTGACAAGAAAAAAGCTGTACAGGCAGTCCCCAGGTTATGAATGTTCAGCTTACAGACAACTCATACTTAAGAATAAACTGCCATAAAGCCTATTATATTAAAAATTTGAGTTAAATACAATGGTTTATAATAACGAATGCACGTACTACTTTGTGATGCTCATGAAAACACTGCACAGTTTGGAAGTGTTTCCTATGCTTGGAAAGGTGAAATATATACTATATACTAAGACAAACATTTGACTGATGCTAAATAAGAACTGTATGTACCTGTTCTGACTTACCTACAAATTCAATTTAAAGACAGACTTAGGAACCGATCTCACTCGTTACCTGGGGACTGCCTGTATTAATGTGAACCTACTGAACTGGTGGGTGGAAATGGAAGCAAGAAAATCTATTACAAGGTAACTCAATAAATCAGGCATTTCATAAATATTTTTTGAGATTGGGTAGAAACAGAAAAAAGGGGGACAGATGTCAGAACAATGCAGGAAGGATCAAGAATACATACCACCTAACCCTACCTAACTTTATTCATAAGGTTGCTATGAGTCAGAACTGACTCTACGGTAATTAAAAACAACAACACTTACATAGCGTCTGAGACTTCTTCAAGTGCTAGTATCTTATTCCTATGAAGTGTATATTATCATCTCCATCTTACAAAGGGACCAAGGCCCAGAAAATGTATGTGATTTGTTCAAGGTCGTTAGTACCATAAGTTAGTGGCCAGGCAGAGACACATACTAAGGTCTTCTGATTCCAAGTGTAGTGCTTTTTCCTACTGTCCCACCCGTTAGCGACCGACAAATCCAGCTCAAGAGGGCAATGTGGGAGAAGAGAAGGGGGTGTCACAGCTAAGAGGAAAGCAGGGAAGTCAGCAGGGGTTAATGAGAAGTCCATCTGTGCTGTATTTGAAGTGTTACAGGGCTATCTTGGTGGCACTGTCTAGTAAGTGGCACTTAGGATGCAAATTTGAGAGCTGCTCAGAGCTAGTGGTATGGAAGTTAAAGGAAAAAATTAGGATGGTGGGTAGAGAAGTGTCATGGATTGAATTGTGTCCCCAAAAATATGTGTCAAATTGCCACCCTGACAGGGAATACAACAGAGTCCCAGATGGAGCAGGAGAAAGGTGGGGTGCGGAACTCAAATTCTAGTAAAAAGACCAGACTTAATGGTCTGACTGAGGCTGGAGGAACCCCAGAAAGCATGGCCCCCAGACTCTCTGTCAACCCAGAACTAAAACAATTCCAGAGGCCAACTCTTCAGGCAAATATTGGACTGGACTGTGGGACATAAAATGATACTCGTGAAGAGTGTGCTTCTTAGCTCAGGTAGATACATGAGACTAAATGCACAGCTCCTGTCCAGAGGTGACATGAGAAGGCAGAGAGGGTCAGGGGCTGGTTGAACGGACACGGGAAATCAGGGTGTAAAGGAGGAGTGTGCTGTCACAGTATAGGGAGAGCAAGTGGGGTTTTTTTTAATGAGAGACTGACTTGAATTGTAAACTTTTGCTTAAACTACAACAGTAAAAAAAAAAAAAAAAGTGTCAACTTGGCTAGACCACGATTCCCAGTATTGTGTGGTTGTCCATCAGTTTGTCATCTGATGTGGTTTTCCTATGTGTTAAAAATCCTATCTTTGTGATGTTAATGAGGCAAGATTAGAGGATGTTATGTTAACAAGGCAGGACTCAATCTACAAGATTAGGCTGTGTCTTAAGTCAATTTCTTTCGAGATATAAAAGAAAAAATTGAGCAGAGAGACAGGGGACCTCCTACCATCAAGAAAGCAGTGCTGGGAGCAGAGCCCGTCCTTTGGACCTGAGGTCCCTGTGCTGAGAACCTCCTAGACCAGGGGAAGATTGATGATAGGGACCTTCCCCCAGAGCTGACACAGAGAGAAAGCCTTCCCCTAGAGCCGGCACCCTGAATTTGGACTTCTAGTCTCCTAAACTGTGAGAGAATAAATTTCTCTTTGTTAAAGCCATCCGCTTGTGGTATTTCTGTTATAGCAGCGCTAGATAACCAAGAAGAAGTACAGCCAGAATGCCCCTTAGAAGCAAGGATGGCAAGACTACATCTCACATACTTTGGACATGTTATTAAGAGAAATCAGTCCCTGGAGAAGGATATCATGCTTGGTAAAGTAGAGGGTCAGAGAAAAAGAGGAAGACCCTCAACGAAATGGATTGACACAGTGGTTGCAACAATGGGCTCAAGCAAAACAACAATTGTGAGGATGGCACAGAACTGGGCAGTGTTCCATTCTGGTGTACATAAGGTCGCTATGAGTTGGAATCGACTCGACGGCACCTAACAACAACAGCAGATAACTAAGACAAGAAGCGAGCAGAACAAAGAAGAGGAGACTTAGGTTGTTTTTTTTTTTTTTTAATGCAGAGACAAGAAGCCCATGAAGAGAGATACAGAGGCGAAAATTAAGTAGTTTTCCTTGGATATTTGCAGGAGGGGGGCGTGGATAGGACTGAGCCTACATGGAGAAGCTGACTTTAAGATAAGGACACAGATTGCCCCACCGGGAGGCAAGGATCAGTGAAGAGCATGATAAAGTAACAGTAATTGGAATAAATGGTGGGCTTATGAAGCACGGGCTGGGAAGAAACAAAATCATGCATTCATGAAATTAATCTAAACATTCTTGTTGGGACCTTCCAGAACCTTAGTCTGAACATGTCTCCGTCTCATACCCTGCTGATCACCAGCACCCTGGCCAACCCCATTACCCACCTCTCTGCCATGTGATGGTTGAGGGGTCGATGTTGAGACGGGTGAATCTGCTTATCTCCTCTTCTGTCAGCATGCTTGGGTCAGTCTTATGGATGCTCAGCTTCTAATGATGAAAAAGAAAAACACGCAGTACGTTTTAGAAGGAATAGAAAGCAAACGGTAACAAAAATTATCCCTATTTTATTTTATTTTCTCCGCGACTAGTGAAGTCTTTAAAAAAAACACCAAACTGAATTTCAGTTAAATTGTAGGATTGTAGGTTAGGTCAACTCATATAAACAAATGCCTAAGTCCAAATAACTCATACAAGTGGAAGAGACTGAAAATTTGTAATATGCCCTTAAAATGACAGATCTGGAAATGTAGTGCAGTTGACAGCAGACAAAGAACACTTGGTGCTGTTTGCTTCGGCCTGAGGCTCTGCGTTTCTGTGGGCTCCTCCACGTGGCTGCTCTATGCTCTGTGCTCAGCAGAGGTGCAAGCTGCTGTCCACGTAAGTGATGCTCCAGCTCGTTAGGTCTTATTTGCAAATACAAATATCAATAATTCAAGTAAAGTCTATGTCTAATTTTTCAAAACAAGTTATTTCTAAGTCAGTGCACAAAAAAGACACGAAAACTTTTTATACATCTATTTCTGTAAAAGGAGTCCCTGGGTGGTGCAAGTGGTTAAGAGTTTGGCTGTTAACTGAAAGGCTGGCAGTTCAAACCCACCCAGGAGTCTTGGAAGAAAGGTCTGGTGATCTGCTTCCGAAAGGTCGCAGCCACGAAAACCTCATGAAGCACAGTTCTACTCTGACAGACATGGAGTTGCCACAAGTGAGAATTGACTTGATAGCAACCGGTTTTTTTTTTTTAATTTTATTTCCATAAAGGAAACATTCTAAGAAAGTAGTTTTTACTGAAGAAATAAAAGAAAAAAAATTTGGGAAATAGAAACTCTACATGTTTTTGCTGCCAAGAATTGTATACTAGGTATTATTCTCAATAAACTGAACTTGCCACAGTAAAAACCAAGGGAGTGCATTTTTGCCAACCAGTGACTGTAAATTATACCATTAAGTGTTATTTTTCAATGTTTGAAAAAGAACTAGGGAAAAATCAAGGTGATTAGTAGAATATAAGCAGCAAATAGCATTTGAAAACCATAACATGGCTAAGAATGAAGATCATTTGCACAAGTACAATCTTAGCATCTTGCTGCAACAAACACTGAGATAGATAAATTTTAATTTTTAAAAACAAATTTCATGAAAATACTGTATTTTACGCAAATAACGCGCACCTTCTACATTTGTTTGCCAACCGTGTCCTCCCACCATGAAGTATTTTCATAAGTGCCGCTATGCCAATTTTTTTTTTATATGTTGTTGTAAAGAAGAATTAGTTTGCTTATGAAAATATCTCACGGCAGTGGGGCATGGTTGGCAAACAAACACAGAAGTTGTGCATTATTTGCATGAAAATACAGTACTCTTTAGAAAGAGAAGAACTCACTAAAGTTCTAAATGTCTTACTTGACTAGGACACTTTTAGATCAGCAAAACTATCCCCTCATTTTACAGATGAAGAAACTGAGACCTAAGAAAGGTTAACTGACTTGTCCACGCAGGTCTTCGGCATGGCATCTGGATCTGACTTCTAGTGCTCTGTTCTCTGCTACATGGTTCTGTCTCCTTTAGAGTTTAACACCCAAAAGAGTATGGGAAAACCAAAATCAAATCAAGTTCAGAATTTCTGGCTTTGACAAGCTTTCTGATGTGCTTCTGATAACTGGAAACTTACTTTCAATCGAGCAAGTTGAATTTCTGAAAATGCTCGTACACCATTCACTAATGGAACCAGTCGATTATACAAAGCCTAAAAAAACAAAACAAAGCAAAAACCCCATGAAAGTTAAGGACCAACCATGAGCTTGGACCATTCACAGGATATGACAAAGTTCATTACTTTACATCCAAACTGTTTAAATTACAGAATCCTATTAAAATTCTTGGGCTAATATAAACAATGTAGACTTAAAATTCTGTCATTTTAATAAATCTGATGAGAGCTGAAATAATGCACATTGTAAAGAGTTTGCATAATATATTTCTTGATCTATAGCTTTATAACTATCAAATTAATAACTGGTCTGAATTCTGCTTCAAAAAACTCACCAGGGAATTACTTTAATTGGAGGGAGTGAGGACTCTTGTAACAAGTGCCAGAAAGTACCATTTTAATTCATCTCCTACATCTATGAGGAATTAACACCTGGTACTCTGTCCACATCAGATGCATTAAATTTACCCTTTAGACCAACGGCACCTGAAGCCCAACAGAGCAGTCTGACTTCTTAGCAGCACATCTAGTAGAGCTGCATGCACCATTAGTGTTTTAAAAAGATATCTGCCCTTTCTCCTTACTACAGACCAGAGACTGGGCCTATGACCAGAATGAAGAGAACTAGTCTACCAAACACCTTCAAGAGCAAACACTTGGCTTTAAAGACTATTTGGCTTAAAAAGTATAACTAACATAATTCTTCCAATGACTTGGCAGTGGTGTTAAACGCATGTGAGATTCTGATCAAAGTATGAATCTGCTCTCAAGGAAATAAAAACAGAAATAAAATTTCAGACAGTTTACAGACTCCAGAGGACTTCCTGAGAATTTCTTAAGAACCCCAGATCCCCAGGGTAAGATGCCCCAAATGGCCAACAAGGACTCTTTCTCTCACCTTATCTGTTTGAGTATTTTCATGCAAAATCCTTGTGTCAATAGCAGCTGCCAGCAAGTTGTTGGCTGCAGTGATGGCGTGGATGTCACCAGTAAGGTGAAGGTTGAACTGCAAATGCAATGAAAATACCTTTCAACTTTTTCAAACAACCACAGTATTCAAAGACTTTCTGAATAAATAAAAGATTGTACTAATTACATATTCTTCTATGTCCATACAACAAACACTCCATGTTATCGTTTTTGTTGTGTGCTGTCAAGTCAATTTCGACTCATAGTGACCCCATGTGACGTGCCCCATAAGGTTTCCTAGGCTGTAATCTTTACAGAAGCAGATCACTAGGTCTTCCTCCCGTGAGCTGCTGTGTGGGTTCCAACAGCCAACCTTTCAGTTAGCAGCTGATTTTCCAAATCAGAAAATCAATGTCAGGTTCCTCCACATGACAACAGAGGACTCTTGAGCAGACTCTTCCCTTGCAAATCCTTCCATTCTTGTGTTACAGGGTGAGCATTCTGATAGACTTAACGATTGGGCTTTTACTACTAAAAAATTGTTTCCTTATTTTCATTTACTTGTATGTATCTTTTTATTACTTAGAAAACAGTATTATGTCAAATATATTTTGGAATAAGGCAAGGCATTTAAAAAAAAAAAACTATTAACAATAGAATAATATGAAACATGACAGAAAGTTTCCGAAATTGAAAAATATATCACCATCACAATTCTGCTAATTTCTTTCTGTCTAGTGTTATGTACACACATTATTATTTGTAGTAACAGCATACTTATAATTTGGTACCTTCTTTTTTACAAAATTTATTATTATGTAATAATTTTGAGTATAGTTACAGTTTATAAGTGCTGTATAATCAAGTAGATGTACCAAAATGTTTCAATCCCCTATGTCTAGATATTTATTTCTGAATTTTCACTTTTGTAAAGGTGACAGTTATAAAGAATATTTCCAAACAGCTTGTCCTTTTATGCTTATTATACACTTCCAGGAGTGTGACAATGCAGTTAAATGTTCTTGGTAATATCATCAAATAGTTTTTTGAAAGGGTTGAATTTGCCACCCGCAAAACACTAGCAGATCAGTTACTTCGGAAACAAAATAATCTTTTGATTAAAAAAATAAGTTATCTGAATAGCTAAAAAGTGGTGTTCTGTTTTAAGCTGGCTTTCCTAAATTTCTTGGGAAGTTAAATATTTGTATTTTCTTGTTAAATTTTTATTTTATAACTTATAAAAGATATTTACTGTAGAAAACATGAAAAAAAGTTTCACAAAATATAACTGTAATTTTAAAAATTGAAATCAGTCTATATTATTTTATACCTTAGCTTTACATGTAAGGCTATATTACCAGCATTTTAAAATCATTAGTCTTCAGAATATACTTAACTCAATGTCTTATTATTAGACATCTAAGTTCCCCTCCCCCTCCCCAATTTTTTAATGCTATAAATTATGTGGAGATAAACAGCTTTAATTACATCTCTGGCCACACATCCAATTTTTCCTTAAGATAAACTAAAAATGAATCTACTTGGGCCAAAGGGTGTGAATGATTTTAAGGTACTTGATACACATTTCTAACTCCTCTCCAGAAATTTTTTATCAATGTACACTTCCCAGCAGTGTACAAGAGTGTATTTCAATTTCTCTTAGCCCAAATTTGGTTATTATTACTATTTAAAAAAATTCAACTCTGTTCATTTGACAAGTAAAATGATAATTGATAGTGGTTTAACATAGAGTTATTTGAGTATTCGTGAAGATGAACATTTATTGGTTAGTTAATATTTCTTTACTGGTGTTTCTCATGAACGCTCTGCCTATTTTACAATTGGGATGTAAGTTTTCCTTTCCCATTGTCTCCTTAACATCCACTTGGATGCCTAAGGCTTCAAACAGGACTCTTCTTCTGACCACCACCTCTTCATCACCACACCATGCCGCCATGTTGGAACCTGACACCCATTATTTCCCTGGTTCTCCAGTTCAATAAATTATTCCATTGAGGTGCTCAACACAGAATCATCATTCTTGAGTGTTCCCCTTCTTTCACCCATATATCTAATCCATTCATCAGCAAACAAGTCTTAAATCCCTCATCATTTTTTCATCCTCACTGCCACCATTTTTGGCCAAGCCATCACCATCTTTTCCCTTGGCTCCTGCCACAGACTCCTTCCTGGACTCCTAGTGTCCACTCTGGGCCCCCACCAATCTGTTCTCCACATAGAAGCCTACGTGATCTTACAAAACCCAAATGGCATTGTGTTACTTCTCTGTCAAGATCCCTTCAGTGACTGACACTTCAAATAAAATCCAGCCTTCTGGTCACAATCTGCAGCAGCCTGAAAGATCTGGCCCCTTCCCATTTCTCTTTCTCCTGGCCCACTGGGCTTCTGCCACGTTGGTGTCCTTCCAGTTTCCTGAAGAGGCCAAGCCCTTTCCTGCCCCAGGGCTTTTTCACAAGCAGTTCCCACTGCCTGGAATTCTTCCCTGTTCTTCACATGGCTGGCTCCTTCCCATCCTCCAATCTTGGTGTTTTCACTTTAAATTCCTCAGTCCATCTGGAATTTATACTAACATTTTTACATGTGATTATTTTCTAATTAAATTTCTTCTGTTAAGTATTGTATGTTCATGGCACTCAGTCAGCAAATGTCTACTAAGTGTCAGGCACTGTGTTAAGAGCTGAGGATACAGAGATGAAGAAGATACAGGAGTCTCTGCCGTCAAAAAACAAATTGCTTGTTATGTTTGGTCCACTCAACTACCATAAGAAAGTTCACCCCAACCCCAAGCCACACAGCTGATGCCATATAACAACTGGACACCAATGCCATTTCAATATTGCCAGTTAAATCCTGAGCCGTTCCCCTGGGCATGTTCCTTGTACTACTCCGTTGCCAACCTGATCTCCTGGCTCTGGACCTTCCTGGTTTGTGAATGTTACTCTTCCTGCTTCAGATATGTGGCTCGGGGCTACTCTTTGCAGCAATGCCTGGGCCTACTCTCCTTTCTCACCTCTACCCAGGACTGTTGTTGTTGTTAGGTGTTGAGTCATAGCGACCCTACGTACAACAGAATGAAACACTGGTCAGTCCTGTGCCATCCTCACAATTGTTGTTATGCTTGAGCCCACTGTTGTAGCCACTGTGCCAATCCATCTCGTTGAGGGTCTTTCTCTTTTTTGCTGACCTTCTACTTTACCAAGCATGATGTCCTTCTCCAGGGGCTGGTCCCTCTTGATAACATGTCCAAAGGATGTGAGACATAGTCTTGCCATCCTTGCTTCTAAGGAGCATCCTGGCTGTATTTCTTCCCACCCTGGATCTTGAAGATTATTCAAATTTTCCCTTTACCTTCTCTGTCTCGGGCTTCCACAGGTTAAGAACTCTCCTGTTCCTTCAACAAAGTCAACAAATATTTGCAAGTGAGCGCCTAATAAGTGCTGGCACTCTGCTAACAGCTGAGCTTATAAGCCCAAGAAAGGCCTCTCTGGCATGCTCCCTCTAACTCACCACAGCCAACTGAACCAGACTGAAGTAAATCCAGAGTACTGGGGGAATTTGTGAGGTGGAATAGAACACAGAAGCATTAGCTGGGAGGGAGGACAGGAAAGGAAAGGAAGAACGTTATAGGCACGTGAAAAGGCTCGGAATCAAGAGCCAACAGGGCAGGAATCTACAAGGTGACCGACATGGTAGAAGGGCACGTGTGAGGGGGCCTGAGAGAAAGTGAAGACTAGAGAGACAGCAGGAGCAGCACATGAGGACCTCACATGCCTCACAGCCTGAGTGGGGGGAAGGAGGGGTAATGACCAAAACACATGACATAGCGAGGTGACCCGTTTAGACTTGGGTTTTAGGAAGATTTCTCAGGACTCGAACTATGAGGCAGATGCAGAGCGTAGGAGTGATGAGAGCTGGTAGCTGGTGAGATACGGGGGCAAGGCAGTGGGCGTGGAGGATGTACAAGTTCTTGGAGAAATTAGAACAGAGATCATCAGCTGTTTTTGCCCATTTTTCCATGCAAATATTTTATTTTGGAGTCTTCATTCAAAGAAGTTAAGAATCCAAGTCTTCCTGAGTTTGGCAGTATAAATGATTACAGATGGAAATACCAGTCCACAACCTCTTATCCAGAACCCTTGAGGTCAGATGGGCTTTGAGATCAAGAATTTTGGGGAATTTAGAGACGTATGTGATGTGTATATATATATATATATGATTTCATAAAACACCCCCAGCAGGGTGCAGGTCAGCACCCATTAATCAAAAACAATATTTCTGCAGAAAAATATATGAATATTCACCTCAAGTGGCATAAACAAAATCCCAAAATAGCTCTTAGCAGTAAAATGTCAGGTTTTGCCATCAAATGAGTTATGAAAACAATTTTTGTTTTTTCACAGCATTTAGGAACTTGGGATTGCAGATAAAGGGCTGTGGGCCTGTGTTTATGGGAGCTCAAAGGGTTTCAGGAGGGAAGAAGTCATACATGACACACATCTCTTTGAGGTCTTACCTCCTCCATGGGGATGACCTGGGCATATCCGCCACCCGCGGCGCCTCCTAAACAACAGAGCAGGCAGCATTTGAAACGAGTCATCAAGAACAGCTATACAGGACAGACACAGCCCTAGGAACACAGCTCCCTAAACCCAACAGGGAGGCATATACACTCAAGGTGAAACAACTGTCCCCGTCAAAGCAGAACAGGAGAAAAAACAGTATGTTTGCACTATGTCCAACTACACAATTTAAGGATTTCTGTTTCTTGGTTTTAAAAAAAAAAAAAAGTACAAATAACACATGTCATCACTTCAAAACATATATCATGATATGAGGTCATTTTATTACTTTTGTTAGATCTATGTGGCTATGCTTCATCTAAACTGTACATACATTTAAGCATTAAAAAGGCTGACTTCAATCCACCTGATAAATACCCCACTCTAACAAATCATAAACTTCAATTTATTTGAGATAATAATATGTAAGGTTTGTCATGCTATTTATCCCTGAAAACATTCAAGTTATTATATTAAAAAGATTTCTCTTCTCCGTTTGCCCTCTATACACCTGCCTCTCCTAGATATTTCATATAAGTGGAATCATACAATATCTGTCCTATTGTGTCTGGCTGATTTCACTCCGAATAACGTTTTCAAGGCTTATCCCTGCTGTAGCATGTACCAGGACATCATTTCTCTTTATGGCTGAGTAATATACCACTGTATGCATACTCGTTGCCACCAAGTCGATTCCATCTCATAGTGACCCTACAGGACAGAGCAGAGCTGCCCTTTTCCAAGGAGCGGCTTGGTGGATTCAAACTGCCAACCTTTTGGTTAGCACCTGTAGCTCTTAACCACTGCGCCGCCAGGGCTCCATTACGTGTATATACCACATTTTATTTATCCATTCATCTGCTGATGGACACTTAAGCTGTTTCTACTTTTTGGCTATTGTGAACAGTGCTGCAATGAACATTGTTGTAGGGAGATTCGTTGCTTAGGGAACACTGAGCTTCTGTTAAGGGTGATGGGAAATTTTGGAAATGGATAATGGTAATGGTTGAACAACATAATAAAGGTAACTAATGTCACTGACTTGTACATGTGAAGAATGTTGACACGGTAAATGATTTGTTACATATATATTTACCACTATTAAAAAAAAATGGGAAAAAACCCAAACTTCTCCTTAAAACAATAATGATGCCTTCTACATGCATATCATTTTACAGTTTACCCTGCTGTTTATGTCCTATCTCATCTGATCCTACAACAACCAGTGAGGCTGGTATTATAAGCCTCACTTTCATAGATGCAGCTCAGAGAGGTTGTGATTGACTAAAGGTCACACAGCAGTAAGAGATACAACCATGAAGAAAACCTTGGCCTTCTCACTCCACATCCCACTACATAATGTATGATGCTCTAAGAGTTATCAGAACTTAATAAGCTAGGAGTTATTAGTATTTATAATAGTAATATAAATTTAATATCGTTAAAACGCATGACATGCCAAGAACAAACAGTAACTGCAGCAATAAATACTATTGTACAGTGAGCTAAAGAATGATTTCATGGTAATAAATCAATGAAGGAAGAGTAATGAGCATGAAGGTCCCAGATATCACCTAACTGCAGCCAAGAGGAATTTCGTTCTGACTCTTGGTGCACAGCCACGTCTCCAGAGAAGCTCTAAGACCCCACACAGCAATGCTGAAAAACAAGACTGCTGACCCGACCTAAAGGATCTCTGTTTAAATGGAAGGGCCTTTCACCACGGCTGGGATGAGGCAACACCAATATGAATGGCAGTTTCAAAGTTGCTTGGCGAAGAAGGTAGTGATGAAACAGAAAGCTTCCTCCAAGGTGGGAGTCCTGTGCAAGAGCCCCGTCACTGTTCCCAAGAGCTGTGGAGGAGGCCTTCCTGAGGCCTCCACTGAAGCCCCAGGCAGCTCCCTCTGTTCCTCTTCCCACCTGGGAGGACGAACTTGGGATGATCACCATGCACTGGGTGTGCAGGAAGGGGTGTGCACAGGGAAGACACATACCAGTGCCTCCAAAGAGCTTTCACTCCCTGTCTGTTGGTGTTGCTTTTCTTAAAATTTCCTCCCCAAAATTTTACTCTGAAAAATAGACTCGTTGTCAAATAAAGTACCTTTGACTCCAAACGTCGGTCCTTGAGAAGGCTGCCTCAAGCAGGCGAAGGAGTTGACATTGAGGTGTGCAGTCAGAGCCTGAACAAGCCCAATCGTAACTGTGCTTTTCCCTTCGCCAAGAGGGGTGGGTGTGATCCTGATTTGAAGAAGAGAAAAGTAAACTTAATAATGTTTTGTGGATGTTGTTGTTGTTGCCATCAATTCGATTCCAAGTCATGGCGACCCTGCGTGTTACAGAGTAGAACTTCTCCATAGTTTTCTTGGCTGTAATCTTAGTGAAAGTAGATCTCCAGGTCTACCTTCCATGATATCACTAGTAGGGTCTGAGCCGCCAAACTTTAGGTTAGCAGTCCAGGACAAACTATTTGCTCCACCTAGCTTAAGAATGGCCTGTCTGCTGTGGGTAGACCATAGTGGTCCAAGAAAACTGAATTATTAAGTGGATTTTGGAATGGGGGGGTTGTTTTGGATAACCTGTGCAAAATCAACCTAGGGTACTAAAACCAAATCAGAGGGTACTAGTAGAGAACATACTATTCCAAAATCCACATAAAAATTCAATTTTCTTGGACCATTATGGTCTACCCACACCAGACAGGCCACTCTTGAGCTAAAGTCAAGATAGAGACACACATTTACCAAGAGACCAAAAGAGGAAACGTTGTTTGGACAGTGATGCTAATAACATTATCAATGTCAAGAAATGGCATAGAATCATCTACCAAAATAGTTTAAATAATTAAACTGTTGTTGTTTCTTACTGACAGGCAATCTGGCATTCTTTCTTCCAGTCATTTATTGTGGGCAAAACGTGGACACAGATCCTGAAGCCACCACTACTCATTCATCTCCTAGATATCCCTGCCCAGTGCTTGTCCCAGTGTGTCTGAACACAGACCAGGGCAGGAGCTCATTGTTATTGGCTGTGCTTGCATAGGCCCCAATCTATGGTTACCCCATTCATAACGGAATGGTCCTGCACCATCTCCATGACTGGTTGTGGATCAGACCTCTGTGATCCATAGGGTTTTCACTGGCTGATTTTTGGAAGCAGAGCACCAGGCCTTTCTTCCTAGTCTATCTTAGTCTGGAAGCTCTGCTGAAACCTGTTCAGCTCATAGCAACATGCAAGCCTTCACTGATGGATCGGGTGGTGGCTGTGCATGAGATGCACTGGAGGGAAACCAAACCTGGATTTCCTGCACAGAAGGCAGGAATGCTACCACTGAACCACCACTGCCCTCAGGAGCTCACTACCTCCTGTCATTCCCATTCATTTCCAGACAGCCTTTTCGGTTAGAAGGTTCTTTGTTCTAGGAGGAGACGTCTACATTTCTGTAGCTTCCTTTCTCTTGGAGTCATAGGGACACTAAGACTAATCTCTTATCATACAACAGCCTTTCAAATATTTGCAAAGATTACATCCAAAGCCCATCAGCACTTAAGGGGACAACCTCTGCCCTTAGGAGCTTATTGTTGACTACCACTCCCTACTAAGCCCAATATTCACATGCTCGTAACCTAAAGTACAAGTAATAAGAAGGCCCCACAAAATTGAATATAAAAACCATTGCTACAACTATAAAAAGTTGTCACTTGAGTTTACAATCTGGTCTTCTATGAGTTAGATGGTGTGAGTCAGGTTGTCTAGGATACTCAACCACAACAAAACTGATAACAGTTTTCAGACTTACCAAACCTAGTGATGTGATGCCTTAGCATGCCATCATCCCCAACTATCTCAGACCACCACTGCAACACACTCACTCACTCATTCAGCAGGTATCTACTGGGTACCTAGTGCATGCCAGGCACTGTGCTAGACCCTGGGGATGCAATGATGATCAAGTCAGACTCTGTCTCTGCCCTCTCAGAGCTTACTGCTGATGGGAGATATGGGCAAATAAATCAGCAGTTACAATTCATGTGATAAACACTAAGACAGAGGAAACAGGACAATTAGCAATCTGATAGCACATAAAAAGGAGATCTAAATAGATATGGAACATTAGGGAAGGCCTCCTAGAGGAAGTAATATCTAAGCTGAGAACTGGCAAATGAATAAAAGTCAGCCAGAAAAAATAGAGGGTGCAGTAGAGGTAGTTAATATGTTAGGCATTGTGCTTTATATTTATTGAGCCAATTACTGTTATTCCCATTTGATCGACAAAGAAACTGAGGCTCAGCATTTAAGTAACTTTCCCAAGGTCCAACCAAAACCAAACCACTTCTGTCGTGTTGATTCTGACTCAGCAACCCCATAGTTTCCAAGGCTGCAAATCTCTACGGAAGCTGCCTGCCACATCTTTCTCCCAGGAAGCCTTTGGTGGTTTCTAACCACCAACCTTTCGGTTAGCAGTCGATCACTTTAACCAGTGCACCACCAGGGCTCCTTGCCCAAGGTCACATAACTAACAAGTGGTAGACCTGGGAATCGAACCCAGACAAGTGGTTTGAGTTCACTAGGTTATTTTATGGATGGAAATCATTTGCTCTAATTAGCAATTTAAAGCAGGGGAGTGGGTGAGAGCACCCCGGGAGAGTGGCCAGAGAAAGAAAAGGGAAGACAGAACCTTGAGGAACATTTTCTTTTAAGTCAGGAGAAGAGATACCGAAAGGAAACCAGGAAGGAGCAGTGTAAAGCAGAAGTCCCAAGAAGGAGGTGGGTGTGATGCAGATGGTAGGGAAGGAAGGGAATGTTTCAAGATGAAGGGAGGGTCGGCAGAGCCAAATGTCTCAGAGTTGTGAAGGGAGGGGAGGATAGAGGAGCATTCACTGGAATCAGCAGCAAAGAGGCCGCTGGTGATGGAAGGAACTGATTAATTGGTGAGCCAATCTGATCACTGCTTGATGAAATAACCCCAACCTCTTCACACCACATGACACTGGTGTACGGTCACCCCCAATCTAAATGGTAAGTTATGGAGTGGGGTCAACACGAAGACTCAAATAGTTACATGTAAACACTCTGAGTGTGTACTTTGAGTCAACTTTCTACTTTCTGACATACAACGTGAACAAAGCAGTTAACAAGCCACAGGCATCGCAATCTTACAACAACCTATAAAGGATATGTATTGAGCATAATGGAGTTTAAGTGCCCTACGGAGCATTTAAATCTGCAAAGTGGTCACTGTTTGCAAAGAAATAAGCAGTTTTCTTAGACTGCGTGACATGAGGGCTTAGATTTCCATTCCCAAGGATATGCTAGCTAGCTGCTGCAGAAAGCCAAAAGCAGACACACCCAGAGATGACCTCCTCAAACTTCAGCTCTCAGCCAAGTCTTAATTAGAAACACAGTCCTGCTTAGCTTTCGGCCAACCAATACAATTCAGGAGAATCTGAAAGTAGGAAATATTTATAAGGCGCAATAAAAAAAGAGCTATAATAAAAACTTTGTTTTACCTCATTCTTGCATTTGGTATCAAAATTTGGTTTATTTTTCCTCCCAGGATCCTCAGCTCAGATTCCAAATTATCAAGTTGACTTACAAAAGAACCAGCATCACGTTAACCTAATTTCATTTTCTATAAGAGTTTACAATTTATGGAGATGGAATTGTGATTTTTTTTTTTCTCACTACCTTTCTCAACTTCCCTGAGCAAATTCATCTGCTCCCTCCCTGGTATACGATACAACTTATCAGAGGGCACTCTAACAGCTTTCTGACTTGGCTTTCTCTCCGCCCAGGCTGTGAGTTTGCTTAGGTGAAGGACGGTGCCCATTCTCCCTGCATTCCTATCACCTTTCCAGGGCAAGGACAAGCAAAAATGGTTGACAACAGAATAGCTTCTTTTGTAAGACCACTATTATTTATTGTAAACTACAGTAAAAATGTATCTAAGTACTCGCTGACAATTTGGACACAATCAGTAGGAAGTTTACCATTTAATCAAAAGTCAAGGAGATTGCTTACGTACAGAGTAGTAGTAAAACTATTTTCCAAATCCAGAATCTTGTTTAACAGTGTTGTTGCTATCAACCTTGGGTCTAACCATGAGTTCCAAACTATAAGCTCTAACAGCATGAAGAAACAGAGGCATGCTACCAGTCTCGGCCATGCCAGGCTTACAAAGCCTCCATTTATTTCATTTTTTGAATAAATCTTTGGGATTTATCAAAGTGTACCTGGGGAAAAGAACACTGTTAAAAATACTTAATCTGGTTTTACTGGTTAATGTTCAAAAGGAACACTGGGGAATTATTAAATGACCAGAATAAAAAACTCATCTGGAATTTTAAAGAATGACAGACCACCTTTTGAAGCATAAACAGAGTTTACTTTCATAGTGTTCCAATGCTGAAATGTGTAAATGAAATATTGTAACAATGTAAAATAAAGTAAAATGAGAATGAATATAAGTGTTTGTATATATATAATATATATGGGGCCCCAGTAGCACACTGGTTAAGCATTTGGCTGCTAACCAAAAGGTCGGCAGTTCGAATTCACCAGCCGATCCTTGGAAACCCAACGGGGGCAGTTCTACTCTGTCCTATAGGGTTGCTATGAGTCAGAATGAACTTGACGGCAATGAGTTTTGTTTTGGTTATATATATATATATATATATATAAACGAACGAATCTGTCTTGAAAGAAGTACAGCCAGAATGTTCCTTAAAAGTAAGGATGGGGAGACTTTGTCTCACGTACTTTGGACATGTTATCACGAGGGATCAGTCCCTGAAGAAGGACATCATGCTTGGTAAAGTAGAGGGCCAGCAAAAAAGACCTTCAACGAGATGGACTGACACAGTGGCTGCAACAACAGTGGTTGCATAACAACGATTGTGAGAATGGTGCAGGACTGGGCAGTGTTTCTGTTGTACATAGGGTCGCTATGTACCCAACTCGATGGCTCTTGACAACAACAACACATATATATACATATGTGTGTATATACATATATATAATCAAAAAGGGTAACAAGCAGTTGAATTCTACAGATAAAATCTGAAATCTTAATAACAGATCTAAGAATGTAAAATGCTTTCAAATACACTAAAAGAAAAACTATTTTCGCTACAAAAACCATTCATCTATTTAGAAAAACTGGACATGAGACCTACTTTCAATATTTGTTTATATATTAGAATATATTAGAAAGCACCAAAATTTTATCTTGAATTAGCTCC